ATGTTTTTGTGGATGTCACATCATGCTTTTGTTCTTTTAGTATTATTTCCTTCTCTCTCTCTTTTGATAAAATCCAATCTCATTACTCCAGTCACTGTCCCTTACCTGTTGTCAGTACTTTGATGTGGAGAGAGGCTGAAGCCCCTGCATCTCTGTACTTTTGGAGATATTCCCCCATTCTTCGTATTATGAGGAGGAACTAGAGACACTAATGGTGAGTCCCAAAGTAAACATATCAGTAATATTCACTGGATTACAGTTCTTGCTTATGCTACTGACAAAGCCCAGTGGGTATTCCTGTGTTGAAACCTAATAGTCTTTTAATTAGTTCAACTATATACATACTAGCATCAGTAACACTACATAACAAAAAATTATCAGTACAAGTAAATCCTGCTTACTTTGAAATAAATAATTGTTTTGTTTTCTCTGAAGTATGGATTTGCTTCCACCTTGTAAAGATTTTTATTAATGAAAGCCATTGAAATGATTTATAAGCCACACACTCTGAAGATAGGCAATCAAAGCTAGTGAAAACTATGAATAAGAAATTGCTTTGTTCTGTCTGGAAATCCACAGTCATAGCTATATTGTGTGCTCTGCATTACTGGATAATCAAGATAGCCAACTTCAGCAACAAGCTCTGTCAAGAGTTTACAGGATCTAGTGCTTTCTCTGCCCTTGTGCATAATATATATAATATACTTTTATATATAATATATTTTTGCCATAATACAGGTCATTTCCTCCACTCAGATGATAAGCAGAAATTAACTCTTACACTCTATCATTCCTGAGATTAAAAAAGTGATGAGGATACTGCTTCTCCCTCATTTGAGTGCACACTGAGCAGAAAGCTCTTTACAGGATTTGGGTTATTGAATGCAGTCCCCCAGGTTTTAGCAGAAAATGTGAGTTAACATTAAATACCATATATAACAATTTGAAATGCTTAAGAAAGATCTGTAAACAGGCAGTGAGTGTGTTACTTATAAAAAGCTGTAAGGAATAAATGTTAATTTGGAAAATTGATGTAGAAAAATTACATTCCTGCAAAATAGTGATATAATAGTGTGACTCTGCTCCCATGTACAGCTTTAAGTTAAGCCTTCCGTACGGTTTAGTAATGTAGCAGTACAGTCTGTACCTATGAAGTTCACTAGAATAGTAAAGAGATTTCTCATAGACAGTATGTTAGAATAGTCACTTTACAGATGTAATCGTAAGAGTTATTCCATGTTATCAGAGTAGGTGAATCTTCCTAATCTGCCCGGAACTATCAAATGCTCTGTGTATATGTTATTGCATACATGAAGTCACAGATTTAATTTGCATTTAAAAATAGTTATAAAATGTCTTATCACAGTTAACCAGGATTCCAGTGTCTTTTTGGATGCATAAACAAGGTTTGCTTGTTAATAAAGAAAACAACCTGGAGACACAAATTCTTTGATATTAGAATGTCCTGTTTTATGTCAGCAATCCTAGTGTTGCCTGAAATTTTTCTAACCTACAGTTTTCAATTTTGCTTCAACTAGAGGCTTGATCCAGGTCTCAGTGAAATCAATAGGAGTATTTCTGTTAACTTAAACAGGAGCAGAGTCAGGGCCAAGATCAACAATATTAATTTACTATAGCTTCAGGCAGACATCTTCCTTTTATTTTAAAAAAGCACATCTTCACTTCACCTTGCATGTAATTTAATAACTGTGTATAAAGCTTGAAAGGTTACAGTTTCTCCTAAGGATCTGAGAGGATCTGGGTGAAGTGCACATCCTGTCTGCAGAGAGCATACAAAATTAGCTTGGATAGCCTTTTATTTCTCTCTAGGTGGGACTGGTCATTTCTTTGAGCTAGGACTTGATGCAGTGGGATTTTTTTACTGCCTTTTCCTTTAAGGATTAAAGTTTTTTTAATCCTGTCTACACAGACCTTCAGTAGTTGGTTGGCATTTTTCTTAATGCAATTGCCTAGATAATCCACAGTCCTGAAGAGAAATTAGGAAATCATTTTCTGTTTAAGCTTCCAAGGTTCTGTCTGTCTGTCTGCCTCAATCTCTTTTTATTTTTTTCCTCCAGCTTTCCTTCAAATACTGTCTGTCTTTTGGCAGGCTCAGAGATTCATAAAATGTTACCTTCAGCACATCAATACAAAAGTGTTGGCAAGCTGGTGACAGCTATTATTTCCCAGTGCCTCAGATTTCAAAGTTCTGATTTGCTACAGTGTCCTTTTTTTCCCTTGAATTTCATGTGTCTCCTGGGTTCCTTACTAAAGAAAATTAGCTGTAGTTCAGCTTTTTGATGTTCAGCAGAACTCCTAGGAGTAAAATCAGGCAGTACTTTCCAGTCTAAGATACATGTAATCACGTTATATAAATGGGGATGAAAGCAAAAATTATTCAGTAAGTTCGGTAAATAGAAGGAACATATTATAAAGCCATGGAAGGTTCCCAAAGATAGCAGGCTGCGAAACAGTAGAGAGAACTCTTCTCAGTTTTGGAAGTAGTAAGTGGTTTATCTTGTCATGATGACATACTTTATGTCAAATGTAAGCACCATCACTTCTTTTCACCTTCATGGTGTTTTAAAGCTAAACTGTGGGTTTTATCAATTGAAATACGTCTGCCTTGATTTTGCATTTGTGTAGGGTGTACCCATAATGTGTTATGCATTATTTTATAAATATAATAACATGGATCTGATGCGGTAAGAACACAGCCAAATGCCCACTATTTGATGAAGAAAAGATAAGACCTTACATCAGTTCCTTGCTAAAAGTGCAGGGTGCTCTTTCTCTACAAATTCCTCAAAGGTGCTGAATGTCCTTGATCTAAAGAACTGAAAGTTCCCTGTACTCTCAGCATTTATGTCTTTATTTATATCGGTCTTATTTTATTAATTATAACTATTTAATTCTTTAAGCCAGACCTTCTGACCAAGAAGGCATAATTGTCAAGTGGTTACCTATAGTGCAACAATATGGAAAAGATTGAGGATCCCTGCTGGACATGTGGGACATTATTGTACTCTTTTTGCCACAACATACGTGCAAACTGTGGCAATAATTGCTCAATCTGATTTAATCTGCAGAATAATAGCTATAGAGAACTGTATCCACTTAGCATATAACTCTAAAAGTGGTGATGTGTATCATTCAGATCTGTTTTACTGAAAAGTAAATCCGAATAAGTCTCTTTTTGAATACTTATACTGAAGTCTCTAGTAGAAGAAGACTATTTGCAATACAAATAAAGAAGGAAGTTCTTACATTTCACAGGAAGTGATTGAGGAAGTGTAGGGGGAAAAGACTCAAAACCCAGATCTTTAGTTTCTCTGTCTCTGCATAAGCATAATGATACCTGAAGTCCTTATGAAAAAAAAGGCCAAGAAGTCAGAAGGGGAAAAAAAATATATAAGAAGACCAATAGGGAGAAAAGTTTAGATATTGAATAAAATGTCTGGCTGCATGCCCAGGCAAAATTTTCCAGACTTATCAAGGTCAGGCATCACAAGATTTTCTAAGGATAAAAGCGCTATATGAAACAGGAGATATCTAAACAAGGCACAGCAGACACTTGCTCTCTCTTTTCTGAGGCTATTGTGAATGCTAATTAGAACATTTGAACACTGACTGAAGCAACACGTGCCAATTAGGCAGTTACGGACAGTAAATAACACTAGGATCATCAAACCTGAGCTGCAGTTGACAGACTGACTGCAGTCACCCAAGAGGACCCAGAAGAAAAAGAGAAGAGAAAGGGGTCCCATGCCAACCTACCCTGCTAGGTAGGTTGGTCCTGGGCAAAAGCCTAATAAAAGCAAAAAATAAAATTTTCGTGGGGTAGGCAAATCAGATCAGCTACTTTTTGCTTTCTCCTAGATGCTTTCGCTTGGCTTATACACTGTTTTATTTAAAGTATTGTATACAGCGTATACTTTTCTCCTTTAGCTGACTGCCACTGTTTTGTGTTTAGGTCAACCTTTCTACCCTTTCCCCTTTTTCCCCATTCCCCCTCTCCTAGGGCATGGGTCCGTGGGCCCATGCACCCCATTTAGCCACAGAACTGGGTTGAACAGCCCATAAACCATTTACATTCATGCATCTACTGATTTACATTAAATGCAATTGTTAGTTTAAAACTTACAGAAATGGTAGAAAAGGTGACAAATTGAAGAGGATTCTATGAATTGGCTGTTTTTTTTATGAGTCATGTCCCTTTTTCATTGGTCTTGCCTGTGTTTAACCACTTTTTTTATTTTTTCTCTTTTCCTGGAGTAAAAATCTAAGAGTTGATAAATTCTGTAGCCTGCCTTTAAGAATTCTATTCCTTGAAAAACGGTAGGAAATTAGCCTGTGGAATACAAACCAGTTCATTCCACTTCATCTCCAAACTCATGGTAATACTGAGAATTTAAAAGTCCTTAAAAATACTTCCATAAAGAGTCAAATTTTGGAATCAGTATAGGAATTAGAGATGGGAGAACTTGTGTGAATGAAATGGGGAACAAGACAAATCATAGCTTGCGGTGTCTGCCAGCAGTGCTTCTTTGGGAGGGCTGGAAAATATTGAAATGATTGTAAGAGTGGTTCATCTTAACAACTAGCAGCCTAGCAACTGGTTGATAGGGACCTGATTTGATTGCAGTTTGCCTAAAGTAAGCAGCCATTTGGAGGGATTGAAGTAGATTATTGAATTAAAATACAAACTGCTCTTTACTATGATCTTTGTTATTCCCTTAAATCCTCTGAAATTCTTCAGTATGCTTCACTTATCTTATTCCTGCCTTTTTCAAGCAAAATTTAGTTCATGTAAATTGGTTCAGTTCTGACTCTCTGTATGGTAACTGCTGAGTCCTGGCCTGAAGCACTGATTGAGCACCTGGGGAAAGAAGCCATCAGTCCTGGGAGCACAGGTGAAGGGAATTTAGGTGTGTGACCAGAAGGGGTGGAGCCTGGCTGCACCTCTCTTAGACCTCTCTTAAGGGTTGACTGCCAGGGGGTGTAGATCTCTGATCGGAGATCCTTCCCTTGTGGAGTTCTCCCTGTGAGCCTAAATCTTCAGAGCTGGGTGAGTGCTTTTTCTTTGTAATGCGTTTTCTATCACGCTAGTCCCTTTGTCATTACATCTCAGGTAGCATCATTCCATTGTGTTGTTCTGATTTTTACATTCTCTAAGCCTGAATGATTGGAAAAGTCTCTGGTGGTTTAAACACTTACTTAAGCTTCCTAAAATTTTAAAGTTATCTCAGAATGCTGTAATTCAATCTTTCTTGAAGATCTCAGAAGAGATCTCAGAAGAGATCTCAGAAGCCTGCTTGTATTCAGTGATAAAATATGTGTGAGTAAAGGCAGTATTTCAAAGAGTTGCTCCACCTGTGATTAACTTCTCTTTTTCAAGCACAAATATAATTTGAGCATATGTTGCTAACAGCTAGGTAATAAAAGGCATGCATTGCTACATAGGGTAAGCTTTGCATAAGGCCATTGTTTCTTCTTTATGTAATAAAGAAATCAGAATTTAGATAGGCTAAATAGATACTTAGTGTACTTCTCATGAATTCCAAGAAGCTAAATGGAAGCTGAGGATTCCAGAAGTTTCTCATTAAACTCTTCTAAAGTGATGTGTTACTTCTTGCACTGCTGAGGAACTGAAGGCAAATAAAATTGATGCAAACTGTAATGGTGGTAAAGACGGAATTACTGAATTGTGCAAATGGCTGGAGGTGGTGAACATTTGCCTGCCCACAATTATTACTGGATCTGAGTCTTTCCAAATAGCAGTTATCAATTTGTTGTCTGCTGGTAAAGCTGTTTTTTTAAATGCTATACCTAAAGCTTGAAGCCTTTAGTCCTTGAAATTTTGTAAAATGTAGGAATTATGCAGAGAAATCACAAGTACAACTACAGGACCAGTCTTTTCTTTGGCTTATAAAGAGACTGATGAATAAATTGATCTATAAATTGCAATACTTGTTAGGACGTTGCCGTTATTTTTCTAAATGTTTTTTGTACTTGTTACTTTTTTCTAGTAATGAAGGTGTTAACCCAAGTTACAATTGGAGAGTGGTAGAAAATTGGCCCAGCTGTAGGAGATGAGGAATCAGGAACAGGTGAGTCAAACTTTCTTTATAGAAGCATCATTGGAAAGAACTACTCTCATCTGGTTTCAGAAAAAAATAAAGAAAATTCTGGTAGCTGAAGAATGGTCATAGGCTCCAGATAAGATGGATTTTTAAGAATAAATGGCTTTCTGCTTCAGGGTAGTAGTATATGTAGTGTGGCATTTGAGAACTTTGGCAGCCGACTTGCTGATTAAGTTGGTTTATAGCAGTTTGAGCAAATGTTCCTTTCCAGCACAGTGTTCTGCAATATTGTCCTGGTGGACTTCTAAAGTGGTGTGTATGGACTCTGTAATTATAGAGTAGTTAATTGCATGCAGTATTGCATGTTTTTCAGCATAGAAGTGTTATCAATATGGAAGTAGAGTGTTGCTGTTATCGAAGCCTGTCTGGATATTTAAAATGTGAAATAGGTAATTCAACCTATGGTATCAGTTAGTCGTTTGTTGTGCCAAGCATCAGGAATGTAGAGTGCTTTAGAAATGTTTAAAATCTGTAAGAGGATCCTCATAGAATCTTTGTTACAAACAAATGATTGAATTGTTTAAGGCATAACTTTTCCTTTTTGAAAGTGTAAAATGGTGCAGGTTGTTCTTGTGATCAGGAGTTTCATCCTTGCACATAGAGTAGCAAGTTTGACTGTAGGATCCTGGCTCAGTAGAGGTCCCAGGTGCACCTTATATCTTCCTAATTGAAGAACTGGCAGAAGCAGCTGTGTTGGTGTTGTGTTGTTCTACCTTTGCTACTTAGCTGTGAATGTTTCCCTCAAGTAATAGGCTGGCTGGCTAGCTTGGGTAAACGTGTGGTGCTGCATGGCTTCTGTTATGCAGATTTTAAAACTATCTGTCCTGAGTTCAACTGAATTTTCAGTAAGCCTCATGACAGTGGAAAGGTGTAATAACTTATTTGAACAGCTTCTCAGCTTTCAGTGAGGTAGAAGACTAGATATAATTTTCTACAGTGAGTAGGTTCAAAATGAAATTTCTGTCATTAATGTTGTTTGATGTAGAAGCCCTAAGGATGAGGCATTTGCATTGTTCAGAAATGCTAAATAACTCTGTAGCTTGTAAGAAAATCTTGGAAGAGACCTCTGAGATTGTTTAGTCAAATTGTCTACCTACCTTCAATATTGCACACTAACCCATTTCCCTAAGTATTACATCTACCCTTTTTTTTTAAATACCCCCAGGGATGGTGACTTCACCAGTTCCCTGGGCAACTTATCAAAACATTATTGAACTGTCACCTTTAAAACTTAAAACCTAAATTCTGCAATGTATGTTTATTTAGTACATGTTGCTTGTGTATGTATAAAATAGGAAAGGGAACAAGGAGGAGTCATAATGATGGTAGTTATTCTGGCACAGCTGTTTACTATAAAGGGAATGCAAATCATGGAGAAATTCTAAGGTAAATCTAGTACCTTCAGAATCAGCTCTACATGGGTTTTTATCCTCCCCCAAACATCCTTTGTCTCAGACAGTAACAAGGAAACAGTGTGTATTATCCTAATAGGTATGGAGATCCTATTTCCACAGGTATAGAGATAACTTCTTCAGGAAACTTCTTACAAAGTAGCAGAAGTGCAGAGTACAAGTTACTGTGTGTTCCTATATGTCTGCTGTCATGCATACCAGTTAAAAAAAAAAAAAAAAGTTGGCTAGAATTGCATTTGTCTCTTCTCCATCAGATTGCCAAGTATGGTTCTTTACAATGGCAATAAGGATACTCAGGAATAAAAGGATTTTATTTGTCATGTCTAGGAACTTCACAGTATTGTTTCTGCTGGCTCTTGTTCTTAAAAAATTTACAGAGTACTGAGAATTTCAGTAGAAAGAGAGCTGTGATATGTGTATGAGGGCTCATCCGAAAGTAATGCCTCCCGTTTAGTTATGTTGTCCTATGATGCCAGAGGTAGATGTTTGATGGTATGGCAGTAGAGGTTGAACCTTCCCACCAAAGTTCCATTATATTTTGCTGCTGTGCAACAGATACCAGAAGAGGGGCAATTTGACAAAATAGCATCTGGCATGGAAGTGTGCATGAAGCAAAGGTGCGTCACTGAATTCCTCCATGCAGAAAAAAATTGTACCTATTGACATTCATGGGTGCTTGCTGAAATTAAACAGTGGATGTGAGCACAGTGAGGCTGTGGATGGTGTGTTTCAGCACTGATGACAGTAGTGTGAGAGACAAACTCATTTTGGATGCTGTGCACAGCTGTCACCTCAAAAAATGAAGTGTTTTTATTAGCTCATCCATGCAGATTAGCTAATGGAAAAATAGTGCTTTGTAGCTGAGAACCTGCTCTATCAAATAATGTTATTGTGCTCTTTGTATCTCTGTGTAGCTTCCATGGAAGTAAAGAGGAAGCATTACTTTTGGAGTGACCTATGTAATAATAATGTTTTATCAATACCCTATCAGATTATACCAGCTAGGAAACAACACTTGCATTAGTCAAAACAAAGCTTGAATTTCCACTTCTGAATGCCTCAATCATTCTGATTTCTGAAGGCTGATGAGTGGAGTAGTTTTGCTTTTCACTCTTTCAGAACATGTCATAGGAAGGCATGACTGGATGTCATGAGCTTGAAAAGCCTAACATTCCAAAAGGTCTTTGTCTGCCTTGGAATTTAATTGAATCGATTTAAAAATCTGAATAATTGTTGTGCACCTTGAAAATCAAGGTGAAGCCTTCTTTCACACTGATATTTCTGGTGAGAAATGCTGTCTGTTATTCCCACGTTAGCTTAGTGTATGACTTTGTGTGATAGTTTCTCAGCAGAAGTGCAGATGATGACTCCTGGCAGGCAGTGTTATTGAAAGACGTTGTGCTGTATGTGTACGTGTTGTTAAGCTGACAGTTTTTTATGCAGCATTGACTGCTGAGATTCTAAAAGTCAGAAAATAACCAGCTGCAAGTCAGAGGTCAGCTGGTTCATTAGAAGGCTCAAAAATCCCAGTCTTTTAGTAATGGTGCCATAAGTTCCTCACTGCTTGTTGCCTTGAAATCATAGTAGGGAAAATCAAGAGATAGTTGTCTGTCGTGATCAGATTGCAGTGAAACATAGATGCACAGCCGGTGAGGCAGTTAGATATACAGGATGTAAAGCAGCATGGAACAGTCCAGATCTTCCCTAATCAACACTGGTAAAGTCAAAGGAGCTTTTTAACCATGCATGATCTTTTTATTAAAAAAAAAAAAAAAGGGGGGGAATTTGATGTGTCTGTTCACAGTCCATAATTTAAAAGGATCACAGTCAGTGATGAGGTGTTCCAGAAGAGTACTGCTGTAGCTGGGATTAAATCCATTTTTATGGTCAAAAAAGACAAAGTAACCAGCATATTGATGACGCTTTCAGTTCATGAAATAGCCAATAGCCCTTTGGACAGAGCAATCTTACACAAAAAAATGCAGTAAAAATAAGCAAATAGCAAAATGGAACTTGTGAGAAACAGGAATATGGGTTCTATTTCAGAAAAAAAATCTTTCATGTTGATATTCCACTGGGAGAAGGAAACCGACTACTGGTGAGGCGAAATGCTAGGGCTGATAGTGAGCAAGTGTATGATATGTGAATTTTTGTCTGTAGCGAATACCATTGAAAATGTGAGCAATATTTCCCTGCATTTTATTTTGCAACATGGCAACAAAACGTGAAAGAGCATGGCATTGCTGAGATTCTCCTCTGACAGAGGAAGAATGAAGGTGGTGAATGCCATTCCTTGTCCTCCTGATATCCTGGCAAAGAGAAATGCTTGTCTCTTCTTCTGCTTAGACTAGGATGAAGAGCGACATCGTAGAACACATGATTTCCATTTAAATAGATTTGAATCAACTGGAGACAGTCACTTATAAGTAAGATGATAAAGAAATTAGAACAGGTTAAACCTTTTTTAAAATATTATTTATGTTTTAGGTACAGGAGAGTGTGAGGTTTTAATACAGCAGCTTTTAGGGTATAAGGCATAAAGAAGCACGAAAGGACAGAAGTCAAAGTTAATAGGAGGTCTGAAATGGATGCCAGAAGGCTAATCTGCTAAATCTACTAAGGATTTCGATTAGCAGCTTCAGAAACAGGAAGAACGAAGGATTTTGAAATGAAATAACATTGACACAGAAAAGAATCTATGTAATGAGTGTGTGAGGAAGGCAATAAATGGATTATAAAGCTGTGCAACTGATGATATTTAACCTCTATGGCATATGTAGTGAACTGTTATCCTGATTATTAAAATAATTTAAAGATCTAATTTCAATATTTCTAACTTCACTGTAAAGATGAGGAACTATTATCTGATTATGAAAGCAGGTACTTCTCATGCAATGCAAAATTACAGATATTTTTGTTCCTCTTACTGATGTATTAATTAACATGAGAAGTTAGAATTCAGTCATGTGTTCTTCCATCCACATACCTTTATTTGCTATCTGGAAAAAAAAAGTTTATTTCCTGTATCGAATCAGCAAATTCACACATTGCTGGTGCTTTCTAAATAGACTTATGCCAAGAAAACTAGATGTAGAGAAAGCTAGCGGATCAAATGTCTGAATGCTTGTAATTCTTAATGTTATAATATGACTGCTACTTGAAACAAGAATTAGTTACCAGTAGAGGGTGGTGTTTTTTGTATGTTAAGAGTCAAAAAATCCTATACTTAAGTTTAGGGGGTATTTTGAGGCTAATGGATTAAACAGGCCTATGCTTATCTGAGGACATGTAACAGATTAGAGTAAGACTTAGGGCTTCCCGAGTTTCCATTAAGCTTATCACTTTAGCCTTTTGAGTATGAATATGGAGAACTATTTTCTTGTTCTTTTTCTGAGAAATATTTCTATTTGAAGATTTTTCTCCCTCAGTCTTTCCTGTTCTTAAATTGAGTATGTCTTATCGTTTCTTCTTGGTCACATCTTCTGAACCGGTGATAACTTGTATTGCCATCTTTTGCACTACGATGCTGTTGAACCACATCTCCCTTGACAGACAGTATTCTAGCTGAGGTCTTATCAGTGCTGCAGAAAGCAAAAAGCATCTGGCAGTCTACGCTCATGTTTATGTATCCCACTATGATGATTGCCCTTTTGGAACAGTATGACATTTTCTTATGTTCTCTGATGCAGCTATTCAAATAGACACTAAGGAAATATTTGAGTCACAGATAACACAAAAGAACATGATTAACTGCTCTCAATTTAGTGTCCACAGACAAGGAACCTTTAGTTTTTGAGGGCTTTTTTATGTAGTAGCTAAAGTAACTTCAGGCCTTATCATTCCATCCTGCTCTTAATGAACAGATATTTTTTGTTTCTCAAATGCTGTCTCTGATTTATATATTGGAAACTGATTTAAAGCTATACTAGCCTACATCATGATGCCTAATTGATACTACTCAAGGTTTGTATTTTAACCACAGTAATTCAAACAGAGATCTGGCATAATGGAGTAGAGGAACGAAGAGGGGTAGTCCTATGGTAAACTCAGGTCATTTTCTGGATGAAGGATACATTATAAAGGCCACTAGGATAATGTTACACAGTCTGGTAGTTCCCTCAAGGCCTCTCACTTTCAATGGTAGAGGTTAAAGAAAAAATGATGACATTTTGTTACTACTGTAAAATTACTGAAAAATCCTATACTACTTTTCCTAATCTAGGAGTCTGAAGCTACTGCTCTGCTGGTAGTTGTATCAGTGGTATAATATGGTAATAAACTAACAATTTGTCCATGGTGTGTAATGTTTATCTGAGTAGCTCAAGCATTAGTTGGTACATAGTGAAGTCTCAGTACATCATGTATTTCTCTCCTTGTATGATTTTTTTTTTTTTTCCACTTCTCCCGCCCAGTATCTCTTATTACCCTCATCTCTTCTCCCTTCTTTTCTCCAGTACTTTGTTAATGTTAGCTTATGTTTGGATGGAATGGGAATTGAAAATATTTGATTGGTTGCTGTAGTTGGAATTATTATTAAGCCAGCTAGAAATGTGATATCTGAATAAATTCCATCTTAGATGAATTCTTCTAAGTAGAAAGTTATCATGTGAAGAAGATGTGCATAATATCTGGAAGTAAATGAGGTAAACTCTATTTTTGCAGTGTAGTCAAAGTACAGAAGTGAATACAGCCTGACTTTTTCCTTGGCAGTTACTAATCTAGTTTACTTGTAAAACTGAGTGCTGAGCAAGTCTCTTTATATTTTTCTTTCTCCTTTGACCTTGTAATGTAATCAGATGGCAGACTGAGATTTTTAAATGGTCAAGTGATGAGCTCTTGCAGTGGAACTGAGTGCAGACTGGATTTGGTGCCTTTTTTTTCTCCACAGTGTTACAGACAAGCTTCATTGAAACCTGTTCACATAAGAGTTAATAGTTTTTTTTCCCCGCCCATTTGACAAAGAACAACCTCTAGTGCATTTAAAATATTCATTATGCAACTATTGAAGCATTCCCTGTGTCCTGAATGCTTAGAAAATTGGTTGGAAACAACCTATTTAACAAAACTGACTCTCATTCACTCTACTTCATGTAACTAAAAAAAAAAAAAAGCCCAAGCCATTGCTTTTATAAACCATTTAATACAGTTTATGATAGCAATAATCCCCTTGAAATTGGTTATATTACTGTAGTTTGTTATAGTGTTAACTGCCCTTGTCTTCAGCTTGGTCCATTAACTGAAAATCCAGCCATTATCTTATAATGGGATGATTCCTCCAGGATTATTACCTTACTCTTAGTTTGTTGAAGATGAATATTCTTGTAGGATAGTGAAACAGTGTCAAAATGTGTAAAAAAATAAAAAATAATAATAAAAAAACCCTAAAAATCTCAGTTTTACTTATATAAAAGTGATATATTTATGCAATTTATCTGAGGTTTACACATCGTTTTTTTTTCTTTTGTTTGTGACACTGAAGATGAAAAGTAGCAGGGATTTTTAATGAAAAAGAACATTTGTTGCCCCAAATAATTAGTGGCAAATGATGAGAGACAAGGAAGATAGTGTTAAATGTGACAGTCTTAATAACGGGGAATTAGAGTTTGATTCCCACTGTTCTGCTCAGTGGGAATTTTGCCAGTGACTTCGCTGGAAAAATTCAAGGCCAAGAAGACAAGGAGAGAATTATGCTGTATCTTTTCTAAAGCACTGAATTGAAGTGAGAGGAAAAGAAGTCATAAGCAAAAGACTGTTTGAGCTAGTGCCACCTATATCTTTATAAGGAACAAAAGCTATTCAGTGAATTCACAGAACTGTTCACTTCCAACGATAGAAATCCTAAAAGGGCTCCCTAAATTATGTCTTTGCCGTACTTTCATGACCTATATTTTAAGTCCCTAATGGCATCTTTTTTCTTTGAGTAATACAATGCCAATTCTGAAAGAGATTAATTATTAGCTATGCAACATTTTTTAATTAATCCTGCAATTCACTCTATCAATATATGCTGTCATTCATAAAATCCTGGTGTAAGCTTTGACTCTACTGCTTCCTCCAGCTTTATCAGACTTGTTCTCATACTCTTCTTAAATGTTGTCAGCTCATCTGCTAGGAGTTGCCAACCAAAATGCAAGGAAGTTATAAAGCAGTTTAAGTACAACCTCTAAAATGTACTCATGACAGCTTTTTACTAGTGATTATTTGAGACTTGCTTTATCTGCAGTGTGTTTCCTAGTGTGGGGAAATCTCTGGAAATTCTTCTCCTGCTTTGTACAAGGTATCTTTGATTACCTCTTCTCTGAGACTGAAGAGGGAAGCTTGACAACATAAATTTACTTGTATTTATGCCTGGTGTATTATCAGTCTTTTTCACAAATGATGGTACCCACATGTGACAGTAAGAATATATTTCTGTACCTTCAAGAGAAAAACATTCTTTTCCTTAAGGATATACTTTCAGTTTCATCAATAAATAACTTGTCTCTTAGGAGAGTTATCTACTTATATTTCCTTTCTTACATGATAGCAACCTTTTAAAAAAAGAAAAACACATGGGGAAAAAAAAAAAAAAAACACTTTGCTATTGTTTTCTAACTTTTTGTGTTCTAAAATAAATAAGCAACGTTTAAAGGGCACGTACTTCCCTGAATATAAAGTGATATAAATACTTGCTAAATTTGCATTAATTGATATTTCGAGGTGTTTTGCTGTAGTCAAGGATCAGTCAGGAAGCAATGCACTTTTTAAAGTTTTTGCAGGCCACTAAGTCTATACAGTTTTTCTGTGCATCTTTAATGATGAAGTGTGTAACTGAGTTTCTTTTGAAATATCCTATTTAATCAGTAGTTGTTCCACTGACCTGACCTCAGGATTCAGTTTTAAAACTTCAGCAAATGCTCAGATGAGCTGTGCATGTGTAATGAAATAGATACTTGCTAAGTGACTGAAGTCCTGTGGCACGAGAGATGCCATACCAACCCTCTTGATAGTGTCCATACTAAGTGACCTAATTTAAGCCTTAGCTGAAAAATCATTCTCTGGGTGCTTGTAACTATTAATTAAACTAGTAATTCCTGTGGAAGTCCTGTGATAAACAGCAGATGAAATAATGAGAAGTATTGCATGGTTGGTTTTTTTTAGGCATATCTGCTAAGGAAAGCTGCATTATAGACTGAAGCACTTGTATTCTTCTGGATACAGGTTTAAGGTTGAAGAGAATATGATACTGTTTTTGACTGAGTACTGCTAAGTACTGGAAGAACGCACATATAAAACTGAGATTTTTCAATTGTATTATGACTGAAAAATTACTGCCCTGTGCACTTTTTCTTTATTGGTTATGTTTGTGTTATATGTGAGAGAAGACAAGTCATGCTTTTGGAAAACATGTTTGTCTATGCTTGCTGTGTGTTTTTCTGTATTCTGTTCTGCAACTAAAATCTAGCAGAACTCACTCAAGTCTGAGATAACGTGCTATTTCTCTAAACCTGCTGTATTCAAGAGGCTGTGCTTCATGTGTCACCAAACAAGAGTCTCAAAGTGCATTTTCTACCTGAATTATAGGTAGTATGTTTGTGTCATCATCATGTATTGGTTAAAGAGTCTTCTGGAGCTATAGTTGTCTAATTGTCTGGAAGTAGAAGTGGAGATAGGATAATATGACTTGCTGTGGCATATTATGCTTAGCCAGGCTAACTGAAGAGGCTGCTATGTTCAGGGATGTTTATTCAAGATTTTTCCCATTGTGTTCATTTCCTTCTCCAAAGCAATATTTGTAAATAATTAAATTAACAAACTTTAGAACGCTCTTTGTTTCTTTTCACAGAAGAGAACATCTGAATTGAGTTCTGATTTGAATTCTCATCTGTATTCAGGTGTAGCCTCTAAATAATGGAATTGCAGAGCAGTATCAGGGTTAAGAGACTTTGATAGGCAGTATGTATAGCATGCTACCCCAGCTACTCAGAAAGACATAACTGAAAATTCTCTTAAATCCTACCTGACATCATCATCCAGATTGGCTGAGCATTCTCCTACTTGAATGAATCAGCCAGGAACCAATATATCCACTCTCACTGTGGTGTAAGCACTTCAGTCAAATTGTTATTAGGTCATAGATAGCTCATGCTAGGTTCATTAAGCGGTTTGCAGTGGTTTATTTGATCAGCTATAGATAGTGATGAAGACTTTCTTGTCATATGGTGTCTAGCAGTGTGATGCCAATCTACTTTGCTAACTGATACAGATGGCTTTTGTAGGTTACAAGGTACAGTAATGAAGCTGCTGTGGATCTTGCTGAAGGTCCATTAGATGTGTAGATCAAAACTCCTATCTATTGGGGAATCAGAAAGGTTGGAAACTATGCTTTATTTGATGCTTTCAAATTATTTGACACGATGTATATTGGGGATTGGCAAGTTCCCATATTCATGTAGCTCAATACTACAATTTACATAACATTTTCCTTCTTATAATAGACTCCAAGATAATACATACAGGGGAAAGAACAGTACCAATTATTCTGGAGTTGGAAGTATTTATCTAATTTTATAAATAAGGTGACCAATTAATCTTCTAAAGACCAGTGGCAATGCAGAACAGTTGCATCCTGTTCAACTTCTGTGTTGCTGTCAAGGAAGATGCATTTGAGATGGTCGTAACTGTGTATGTGCAATGTGTTAGGGAAATAAGTAAAAATACTACTTCACATTTTCTAAAACATCTATGATGAATAAGACGCTTCCAGAAGGGCAAAACAAGTTTAAATTGAAGTGCTCCCTTTGTCACTGAACAGATATGAATGGCTATGGATTTGTATCAAAATGATCTAGAAGATTTTAATTACCTTCTGCAATTTTCAACAAAATGCGCATTTCTAGCGCAGACCTGTTGTATTGAATCTTAGTTCTCTGGACACAGTAAGTATGTCTTCTATATAGTTCATTGACCAGAATTCTGTCTAGCAAATACAAACAAATAAAGCCTAAAGTTGGTTATAGTTACCACCTCTGACTTTTCCACTCTTCTAATGGTCATACGCTCTAAAATATAAAATGCTGTTTATTCAACAAGGTAATTGAGATTAGCATGTCTGAGCACTCTGTATTATATTTAGGTTAAATACTGTGTTCGCAGCTTCTATGAAAACAGTTTTTTTTGTCAGAGGCTGAGCTGAGCTCTGTTTGGGAGTCTGTGTGTTTTCATGGCCTCTTATTAGACCATAACAATTGTGGTCAGAATTATCAAAATTTCACTCGAGGAGATGATGGTTCTTTAAAAGATTAATGGCATGTGCCTGGCAAAAGTCAAGACGGTTGTCACTGATCATCAAAAGTCTGTCAAGTTGTTTGAATGAGACGTCTCATTATTTCTCTCGTATATAGGAGGACTGAACAATCGCATTTGACTCACAGGTGTACAGGAAGTTGTGTTAAATGTCCCAGGAATAGCAAAAATGTATGGATATTAAAACAAAAGCTATCAAAACTATTAACGACAGCAACCCCTAGTGATGTTCTGTTGCAGGTGGAAGTGGGGAGAGAATGTTTGAGGGGATTTTCTTTTCCAGTTTTTCCATCTCCTCAGACCTTCACTTAAACTACTTGGCAAAATATTTATTATCATAATTTCTGATTGTTGTTACTTAACCTACACTGGTGCTAATCCATGAAATGTGGACATAAAACAAATAAGGGCTTAACGTAGAAAAATCGCTCAGTTGGTTCATCAACTTATACAAAACCAGCGAGAAATAAAGATAATAAACTTTGTTTAAACAAAGATGAAATAAGCTATTCTGCAAGATTTCTTTTTGTGTATAGGTGATGTGAATTCCAACAGAAAGTGAATATCATGACTACTTTATTTCCAGTATCTCATAAATTTTATGTAAGAAGTATGTCATGGAATATAAAAGCTTGTCTAATGCTTTGACAAGAAGGCATTATTTCACTGTTTTTGAAAAGTATTCAAAAACTAAAATGATATGCAATTGAACAACTGTACAGAAATAACTAATTATTTTCCAGGCTCCTTTCTGTCCTTTGATAACTAATTTGGCCAGTGGCTGTAAAATGAAGTGTTTGAAAGTAATAGCCTTAATGATGGATGAAAATTAATCCTGTTTTCTGTATTTTTAATGGAGACACTATGTTTACTACATTGTGGCTGCATCCTTCCTTTAGTATTGCACTTCCCCTGCAGGAAATCAGAAATTTCCTGAATGGACGCAGTAATTTGAACAAACTGATTTTGAAATAATGTAAGGATAAATGTGCCTGTTATATTTTTGTACATTGACACCAACAGATAATCTGAAATATATGAATATCAGAAAAGCAATGCTATTGAGCAGTTACTTCACCCATCGTACTTCCATCTTTCTGTTTCTACTATGCAAATCTACACAAGTCAAGATAGCGGAATTTTGTTAATCTACTTCAAAATACTTGACCACCACAGAGTAGGAACCATGTATGCAGACAATCTGTGCATTTTTATCTCATGCTGTGGTGCATATACATAATAACTTTAACATTAACAGAACTAGTAATGAATATTCATGTTGACCAGTTGTGTTCTAATTAAAATCACTTACACACTGGTGTGCAAGGCTAAACTAGCTGCTTTTGAGTTAAAAGAAATTTTTCTAATGTTCCATGTATTAAATGGGTGTCTCATGCTGAAGGTAATAATAATAACATCAAAGTAAATTAATGTAATTAATGTCCCCAAAGAGAAAAGACTGTTAGAGCATTGCATGATGATAAGTGGTCTTCTCACAGACACGCTGTAAGAATAAATGTTTTCATGTCTGTGTCACAGTCACTAACACAGGGGAATTAAGATCCAGATTTCAGTAATTATTTGGCTGCTAAACACTACAGTACAGTGTAGTTTCTACATACATGAAGGTATTGGATTGAATTTGTGTAAGATGGAGAACCTTTTTGCTGTGTAGTTGTTAATGAATTTTGAACTAAACTTTGAATGAACTGAAGTGGTTAAATCCTCAAGATGATAAATGTACATCCAGTGCATAATTTGCAGAATCATCTGAAGTGAGTGTTAGCACAGATGCTGGGGATGAAGGTGCCTTAAATGCCAGCCCTGGGCTACTGGAATTGCACTCCATCCATCTGTATCCCACTTATAAATATGTTACAAACAAGCTGTGTCACAGAGCAGAGAACAAGTTAGCTTGGCTTGATGCTTCCTTTGTCTTAGTTTCTGTCCCTCTGATGAGGACATGGTGATCATAGTATGAAAAACACTGTAAAGTTGTCACTTTCAGCCTTAAGGGCTTTTCCTAATGTTTGTGTGGTTATGGGAAACTTTGAGGGCTGTTAAACTGTTCTTCCCTTTCTAGACATCCTTTTCAACCCTATGCTTGCTGATTTGGTCTCATTTGTACCACTGAACCATTGTACTGCTTTACTTTTGCTTATGAATGACATTGTTTCCATTTTTTTTCATCTTCCATATGAAGTGTGCTTATTCTGGCAGAAGTTCAGCCTTGTCTGAGTCTTTGTCAATGTAGGGTATCTCAAAGTTTCCTCTAATCATCGTTAATAGCACCTCTGCCTCTCAACCAGTTTAAAGTACAGAACTCTTATTGTTTTTCTTTTTTTTAAAAGGAAGATTGTTTTTGTTCTTTAATGTTTTAAGCATTTTCCTAAGATTCTGATTTAATTTATTATAAGCTCCAGAGGTCCTTGAGAAATAGACCATTCTCTGATCATTCTTAACTAATTGCCAACTTGCCAGGAATACAGGGAGAAGAGTAGAATGTCTGCTTTTTCAGTTTTTTTTATATAGTAACTCATATAACCCTTTTCTTAAGTGACGAAAAAGTACTCAATGTGTATTTTTTCCACCAAGTTTTACATTGTTGCTTTTCTGGTTTGTTTTGAAATGATGGGGAATAATTAATTCAAGCTAGCGTAAGTGATAGTGAAAATTATGTACCTTTCCAGAAAATACCTTTACAAGCTGTTGAGCAAGGAAAAAGTTAGGAAGCTCTGAAACTCCTGCACAGAGATTCTAAGTTTAAGTAAACCTAAATCATCTGCAGCCAGAAAATAGTTGTTAGTGTACCTTGACCAGGTCAATGTAGATGATGCTTTATTTTTCCATGACTTGTTTAAATGGATAATAATTTCAAGTGAAGTAGCTCAATCTGTAATGCATTTCTTCAAATACCTTATCTTTTATATCAAATATCAGTATCTTCAAATTAGCAGAAATTATCAGAAATTCTTTCATAATTTCTTCCTATTCCATGCAGTAACACTTTAGTACTACCACACTAGAAAATTTCTTCTTGTCTCAGTAGAGATAGTATCCTGTCACTAACAGTGAGAACATATGTGCAAGTGAAAACAGCTATTGCAATTTTAAGATACCACTTTCTAATGAGTCTTGTTGCTGTTTCACAACTAGAAATTACTATGTCAGTGTCTGGACTGGTGTAGCTAATGAGTGCTCCTTTATCTACTACACTGCTAGACTAGCTGTGAAGTATAAGCTTCAGCCTCTACTTGCTTTTTGAGCCTTGGAAATAGGTTTGGCATGTTGCCTGTCTTGTAGATTACATTGTTAACAAACTGTTATGTATTTTCATTACTGTAGTATTGTCATTTGTGAGCAGGGGAATTTCTACTCAATTTTGATTAGTTTTTGAACATTTAGTCTACCTGATGACATATTTTAGTACTTCAAATCAGTCTCTATGGTTTCAAGGATACAGTGACACTCTCTAACAGAATGCCTAACATTTCTCTTCCTCCATTTTAAGATATATGTAAGTTTAGCATCCAGATAGATTAAGAAATATGCATCCAAACCTAGAAGTTTCAGTCTTACCAGCCAAATTGGTAGAAAACCAGAAATCAAGCAAAGCAAAAACAAAGAATCAAAATTCCTCTTCCAAAAAGTACTCCTTTTATGATCGTTATCTTGATCTCCTCAGGTTGGAAGGCTATGAAAGCATATTTGTATTGACTATTTGCAGTTACTACTAGCATAACTGAACAAAAACGAAGTTTCCGATGACTTCATATAGAGAACTTTCTAGAATTAGTACATGGGTAGTGTGAGCATATATTTTTCTTACCTATTGGATCTCAAGCATTGGAACATACACAAAATTTATTTTGTATATGGCAGCATAATTAAAAATATCATAGACAAAAGCCAAGAGAACAGCTCAAGGAAAATAGTATAAATATTCCTCCAAAGGCTCCAGATGAAAGGTGCCACATTCCTTAGTCTAGTGAAAAATGAATGAATCTGTACTATAGAGTAGATAGATCTATTTCCACCTATTTATATTGCTGAATATAAATTGGCTCAGATTATTGCTGAGCTTAGTTGCTACTATTTTTTATGATACTGTAGAAAGTCTTGGTTTGGAAGAGACCGTAAAAATAATCTCATT